GCACTTAGTCCTATCTCTTTATCGTTTTTTAGTAGAATCACATATTAATAACAAGAAAAAAAAATGATGTCATAATGTACTGTATGAATGAGTGTGACACATGATTGACTGTAATTATAAATCTATGGTTATGTCTATAGACGTATCTATTTCTGTGTGGAACAATAACTAGAAAATATTATACTGTCAATAACACTGGAAAGTTACAGTCATTCATGGCTTTGTTTTCTGGCTTATCTCCATAGAGTGAATAACAAAAACATCTCTGGATATTTTCCCTTCCACACGATGAGCTACACAGGGCTTGCATGTCCATTCCAACATACAGTTGCCACCTTCTGGAAATTTGTGTTGTTTTTGAAGTTGGCCTTTAATAATAAAAGGTGTACTAGGAGGCAGATTTTACTGTCAAGATGATCACAGTTCATGCAATGCCAATAGTTATTTATTAGCAATAGTTATTTGGAATTGGCCCCCAGTCTGCTTAATAAAGTTGTACAAAAAAGCATAGCAAAAGCTTCTAGTGTTCCAGAAAAGGACATTAAAAATAGTATTAAGAAGTGAAGGAGCATTGCAGAAGACAAACTGTACACCGAGAAATGGATATGGTGCATACCTTCAAGTCACATTTCTCCATCCATAAAGAAAAATAAAGGTATGTAAGGAATCTCAGACTAATTCTGCATGGTTTTTTTTCTATAGTAGGTATGTGCATATCTCTGGAATACCTCTGTGACTCATGGAGGCAGCTGCATCTTCCAAAAAGTTTTGTATTATTGCTTCAAAGGCTTTCCTAGAATGGTTCCACTTGTGAGAGCACACACAGCCATTTTGCTTAGTTGGCAGTCCTGCAAAAATGTTCTTTCATGGACACTCTCAACAAAGGAAAGGGTTTGAAGCAGCCACACATTCATTGTATTTATTGAGAGTCCTCTGAGTAGCCTCCAAATGTTTGGAGAAGCCTAAGTATAATGTATCTAACTTGAAATGAGAACATTAACTACATCCAGATATGGAGCTCCATTGTTCACTGTTTAAACACATCTATTCTGGGCTTCTCTGAAGAATAATATGGAGAAAATATTCATATTACATGTTTTATTTAATACTGTATTTATTTTTATCTATTTCATTCTAAGTCTACACTCACATGTGAGATCAGCAGTGACATAAATCAAATAAATACAATTATTAAGCCATGTTGATATTAAAGATTATTACTGTTATTGTTGATTGTCATTTTATTTTTGTACATCACTCACCCAGAGTTTCACTGTTAAAGTTGGATGAGCACATGAGTTTTAATAAATAAATAAATAAGAACTATGAAGAGTTTTGGAAGGGCTGCTTCACTCACATGATTTTTCCCCAGAATTTTTAAATTGGCCTTTAATTTTACTTTAGTTTATATTGTTTACATTTTTGAATGACCACCATGTTGCTACCTAAATGATATGGTGTTTTCATTTTGTACTTTATTTTATTATTTTAATTTATTTGTTTTCTCATTTTTTTCAGATTGTATTTTTAATGTATTGGATTGAGAAAGATTTTACTTTTGGATGGTTTACAATTTGAATAAATATTTTTTAATAATGATTTGAGAATTACCCTTTCAAAACACCTCCATGAAACAAAGGGATACACTATCTTGTAATGAATGGAATAGATGTAAGACTTGTCTATTAAACAACAGCAGCAGGTGCACTGCCTTGACAAAGTATTGTGTTTGTATTTCACACAGACCTATGGAAAATCAATCAGGTGTGCTGACTTAGGTTCACTAGAACAGGGGTCCCCAACTCCCGGTCCATGGACCTGTACCGAGCCGCAGCATGCCAGCAACCGGTCCACACTAACAAACAAAGCCCCATCTGCGAGATGCACTCTCCGGTCCATGGAAAAAACCTCTCTCCATGGAACCGGTCCCTGGTGCCCAAAAGGTTGGGGACCTCTGCACTAGAAGAAAGGTAAGACTATGACAGGGAATTAGATCAACAGAAATGGCAAGGTGCAATCAATGCATGCCCAGTGTCTGTAACAGCTATTCTAACACTTTGAAAGGTAAAAATTGAACATAAATGACAGAAATAGTGAACTTTGTTGGCATGCATAGTTCTGCAGACATACCAAAGGCAATAGATATATTGACACCTCAATGGTAGATATCACAGCCAGTAGGGTATCATTGGTCAATCATTACTGCAGAACTGAAAGGTTTGACCAATGGCTAGACCCTTGTGTTTAACCACCCTTCAAAACTAACTCCTGGCTTTATACTCCACTTTTCCTAGCCAGGCCAGCAGAAGACCTGGCCACCATAAATGGGAGCACTCTCAAAACTTGATCCAGGCTTTGCTCCAAGTCAGCATAAGTTTTGCTCTAAGTTTTCCTCCTTGCCTTCCCCTATGTAACCTCACTGTGGGTTAATGGAGGCAGTTTGAGATCCTCCTTATTGTATGCTTAACCTCCATCTTGATATTACATTGTAATTACTATGAGTAGGCATCAGATTTAGATGAATTATGAATCCCAAACTGAATTAGGCTTTCACATAGAATCAGGAGTTGCTCAAATTATAGTAGAGCTTCTCCAAAGCAGACTGAAGATGAATTTGAAACTTTTCAAGCTTTAATAGCGATTCACAGCTTGAAGGTGCAGGACAGAGAGAAAGAAAAAGAAACAAATATAGAATGTATGTCTGCAGAAAAGAAAAAAAAACATTTCTCTCTATATAATGAAAATTCCAGGGTAGGAAAACTGTTTGCCTGCACGTATTCTTAATGTTAGGTGCATGCTTATGCCTCATTATCAACATAAATGCCTCATTATCAACATATTTCATATGACTGATACATTTTGAAACTCCATTCTCTCTTATAAATTGTTGCAAACTAAATACTAGCAACATTGGATCATGTCAGCACTGTATAGCTGGCTTTATGGCAACCAAATTTAAGACTCATTCTCCACCCTAATTCTTCCATATGTAACAGGACCTGCAATGCCCATATAACTCAAGGGTTGAAAGAATTCAGGCTTGCCCCTATCCTTTCTGTGCAAAAGTTAACCTAGTTTGGCATAGGCAACTGCAAAAGCAAATGACAAAGGTTATGTAAGGGGCAGAGCTTCCATCAAGATATCATAACATAAATTACTCTGATAGACTCTCAGCTTACTGCAGATTCTTCTCTGCATTGGATTAGGTCTACTGAGACTTGGAGAATGACTTCTGAGTCTACCAAATTAGGACCTGCAGATCATCTTCTAGAGCTGCAGATCATCTTCTAGAGTCTAAGATCTTGATGGCTCCTTTTGTAATACACAATTGTGATTAAATAGACGCTGGCCATGAGTTCTGGGATTTGCATTCTCCAAAGGCCTGGAGGAAACCAACATGGAGAAGGCTTACCAAAAGTATTCTTCAGTCCGGCAACTCTTCCTAAAGGCAGTATTCAAGCTACAATTTTAAGCAACATTCTGAATAATCTTCTCAAGTCAATAATCTCAAGTGTGTACCTCACAGAAGATTAAGATACATAGGGAAGGCTATGCTAGAGAAGCTTAGAGTATATATCTTTTCATTTGATGTATGTTCATTTTCTGTCAACTCATAGATTCTGCTTAGTTTCTTGTATCCAAGATAAGTCTCAACATGTGACAGTACCTGGTTAATCTCTGGTGAAACAGTGCCAAGCCTTGTTCAGAACTTGAATGGGGCAGTTCCAGAAGGTACTTGGCTATAGTCTAGACAGGGACATTGAAAAAATATTCCAGAAGGATGACAGTGACAAATTTCTTGCATACAGTTGCCAAAAAAAAATTAAAGGGATCTGTTCATTGAGTTTTAAGTCAAACTTAACTTGAAGGAAATTTAGCCAAATTCATCTTTTAGCCAATGTAAAAAGCTACAGATTAAGGTAAATAAACAAGCAGAAAATGTTATGGATATATTTCCCATGATCATGATCTGACATCTTGAATCATTTTTGTACCAAGGTTTGTCAATACTAGACCAAAAATAGCTAGTCTATTGTAGTCAATTGTACCATTAAAAAAGAAACCAAGATATCTCACCAAAGTGGTCACTAAAGTGACCATGAGGTGCATTTTTTGTTCTGCAATTTTGGGACACTCGTAGGTTACCACCAAACCTAAGGTCTGAAATGAATCTATGAAGGTCTCACTCTAGAATCTGAGTAAAACTCACAAATATTCTGAGAGACATTTATCACTTTCCTATCACCTGATCTGTTTCTTTGTGCCCTATATTTACACCTTCATATTTATAAACAGATAATAAAATCACTTCTTCTGCATGATTCTTTCTATAGTAGACTTGATATATATCCAAAGAAGACAGGAAGGAAATGGGTTCAGAAGAAGCAATGATGTAGTAATGCAATCTTGGAGAATATATAAAGCAAGAATTCATTATATGACTTTGCAATGAGCATTCCAGATCCTTTTACACAGAGTTGATTTAATCCAGAATGGTGAAAATTTAGCACAAAGAGACAGATGCCGGTTTACTGATGTGCAACGGAGCATCTGAAAGAAGAATATAGAGCATGAATATGGAAACACAAGAGTTTCATGGCAAGTGTTAGAGGAAGATAAATGTTTGACTGGATTATGAATATTTGTGTTATTTTGTTTCTTCCCTCACATTTTGTGTTGCTGTTATTTATTCAAATAGATTCTACAAAAGGAACATGGGAAACATTCATGCTACTTAGGGAGAGCAGTGAGAATACATTTCCTTGGCCTATGGATTTTCCAGGCCTTTGAGTCTCCTCCTTTATCCCTACAAGCTGACATGTGGGAACAGTTCCGTGGCAAGTTTCCGTAGCCCTTAGAAACATGTGGCTTCTTCTCAGAGTTTGCCGGAGAACGAGAGACTGGTGGTTCCATTTGCTTCTTCCTCACACGACACCTCAAGAGTACCTCAGGTGCAGCTTTATCATTTCCTAGAGTTTTTCTCTTGCACACCACAGAGATCACACGGCAGTCTCTAGATCCTCGTGGGGCACTACTGGGTAATTCTGATGACTCTCCAAGTAGGAGGCTAAATCTGGATCCCCAGCCTGCTGGGCCCTATCTCGAGGTGTCTTACCCTATAATGGTAAGGCAGAAAAAAAGAGAGAGAAACATTCAGCAATAGAAAGGGGAAACCAACACGTACAGCATGTTGAGCATGAGGATTCATTTCCTTATTCCTTTTTGGACTGAATATGAATTCACTTTTTAAATTCACTTGTAAATACAGTTATATTTAGCATTTGACAATTCTGTTGACTTGTTCTAGTGGGCCACCATATAGAACACTCCAATGCGATTGGATTTGGTGGGTGCTAAGTGTGAAGTCCTGTTTTAAATCAACACTTAAACCAACAAATCTTTGAATGCCACAACCTAACAATATTTTCTTGGAATCTTAAATTGATTAGTTACCAGAACTATGCAGTGGCCTCCGATTTAAAATAAAAACATCTTCATCAGTATAGGCACTACATGAAATCCCATTATCCAATACTTAAGTGGCATTTCAAGCTCATAAATCTTTTAAAGTGCTGATTTACTAGCTGGCTATATTGCTCATACACTATGGTTTTACATTACTTATATTCTTGTAGATTTCATGGTTTTTGACTACTGTTAAAAGCCAACTTGAAATTGTCAATAGCAAGTGACAAATGATAGATAAATAAAATCAGCAGGGCTTCCATCCAAGCAAACTCGATGAAAGTGTGCTGAAAAACAAGCAAGCACAGAGGCTCTCAACATATTAGCAAAGGCATTGCCCGAGTTGGCTACATATTGACTTCACTTGCACACAGAATTATTGAAATGGATTTGTTTGGTTTGATTTGGTTACCTTGGAGTCCATTTTCCCCAACGATGCCCCTGCCTCTACCAGCATCTGGCAGATGCCACGGTGACGTTGGCAGGCTGCCTTGTGCAATGCTGTCTCACCCCTGGGTGTTTAATGGAAAAAAACTATCAATATAATGAATTACATTCAACAGGACATAATTTTTAGGATTGCTGACACAAACACATTTTCTTAATTTGTCCTCTACATCTTTGGTACAGCAGAATATGGTTTTAAAAGTGCTCAAACTTTCATTTTAGTTTTGTTTTGTTTTATTGCCATGCTTAAAGCAACGTACTGAATATTAAGTTGTTACCTACACTGAAGTCCAATTTTAAATCACTTACATGATGGTTTTTTTCCCTTATACCCATGCCCATTTGGATGAATTCCCTTGCAGAGTAAATTTCCTTCTCTTTCATTCCCATGTTTCTTCCAAAATCTGAACAATAAAATTCTTTGGCTTTAAACAGCAGAGTATGCTTGCATGTGTATGTTTTAAAATCTTTAAAACAGACATCAATATTTATGTTGTATATTCCTCTAGATTTTGGAACTGAATATTATGTCATCTCTGAAGATGTATACACTATAAAAGCTGGGCATTAATGTTTAAACAAATATGAAGATTTATTCCATTTTTTTGCTTGGGCTTAAACCAAAAGATTTAGCAGAGATTGCAAATACAAGCTGTGATTGTCACAGGCTGCATAATGATGGATCTTTATATTCTTGTTGTAGTAGCTACAGAAGGAACAAAGGAAAGAAATTAATTCTATCCAGAAGCTAAGAGATGGAAATATAGATTAACTGGATCCCAACAACAGCTAGATTTGGGAGATTTTTTTTTCTTTTTTCTTGCAGCACCATTAAATTTTCACTAATCTGGTTATTCCTTTCAAATGCTTTTAGACTAGCATTATGCCAATCTGTTCACTTTCCTTTAATTTGTCCAATTTGAAATTAGGAAATATTAGTGCAAGGTGATAGCTTAGAGGTGTCTAAAGCCTTGTATAGATTTTTTGACTTTTTACTTAATGGTGGCCCCCAGTTCATATACTGCTTCACAGTAATGTATGAGCCCTTTTCCCCCCAGCTTCTTCTGGGTAACAATATCCCAATAGCACCATATTGGTAATTGATCAATAGGGCAGAGTCAAATGATCATTCTGAGGCACAATGAGTTGAATGGAAGGAACCGAAGAGACCCTTACAAAGGAGTACACCAACTTGAACAATTTTTAAACTGAAATTTAAATGCAGATCTTTTTCATCAATATAAGCCATTCTCCTTATTTGTCCCCAAGAATTTCTACAAAATTGTTTTTAGTCCCTATGGGGGATGGGAGGAAGCCCATATTTTACATAAAAGAGTAAAACATGGATTTGACCCAGTACTTTCACCACTACTGGTCATGTTGACTAGAACTGAAAGGTTTTTTTTTCCTTTCTCTTTTATATTTAGATTTAAAGGGAAAACAAAAACAAAAAACGTAATCTGTAGTGAACTTTCATGTCTCTAATAATGTCTTCAAAGTAATCATTTTGGATTTGATAGATAGGACTGTAATACTTGGTGGGGGGAGAAGGGGGTTCAGGAGACAACTATGGATTTCAGAATGTCATGAATTTTAAAAGGAATACAATATATTCTTGAAATAGGAATGGATAGGCTGACATTGTGTAAATCAACACATTAAATTGTTATTTTATGCCGAACTTCCGGTTAGGCATCGTGGCATAATGGATTTGATTTCGCCCCGCTAGGGACCCTAAAAAGGGTCAAAAGTCACCCCAGAGAGGTGAAGAAGGAGGGGATCCTCATCGATTGTGGAGGGGTGGTGGCCCTTCCACTGGATCCAAGGAAGCCCTCCAAACTGGTGGGGGAAAGACTGGCTACATTCGTGTCACCAGTCAGAAGCTGCTGATACTGAAGATAAGCACTAACTAGCAATTTTTGAGCAACATGGATGGAACTGGGTGAGACTTTATCCTCTTTTTATGACCTTACTTTCCTGGAAAAAAGAATGCCCAAAGCAAAGAATCCTCCCCGATAAGAGAGGGAAGGGAAGTTTTTGCCCCACTCCCTCAGGAAAAGAAAAGCGGTGAATTAATTGCTTTGGAAGAAAATAGAGAAAACTTCAACATCAATTTGGAATTAATACAGATATATAGCTTTGAAATTTGGGGACTAAAAGTACCTTTGAGACCTTTTTTTAGAAAAGATATTTGAAAGTCTGTAAAATAGGCTTGAATTCAGAAAGCTGGAAGATGGTATCCACGATATCTAGTGGTGAATGATAGCACTACAATTTATAATGCTTAAAGGAAACTTGGCTTGAAGCCCAGACTTAGATAAGATTTTTTGTTGTTCCTGGAAATTTTCATTTATATAGACTAAACCGGGAAAAAGGGGGAAAAAACCCTCTTGGGCTGCTTATCTGTGTTGGGGACCCTATTGGACTTTAAAGACTACATACAAAAACAAAGTGGGTGTTCCATACTTAGCTGCAAATGGTAAAAAACCATTTTTAACACATGTCTCCAAAGCCCTTAGCTTGATATGCCAGCAAGAACATGTTAATGAATCTCAGAAAGAAATTCTTTCTATGTTGAAATCAATCAATAAAACAATTGTTTTATTTCAGGATGAGACTAAAAATAACACAAACCCAGACAATGACTACAAAGAAGGAACTAGTAACCCAGAAACAGAAGGGAAATTAGAAGAAACGGATCCAAAGATGGAGGACCTAAAGGAAGGAATTAAAGACAGATATAGACAAATGAAAAATTAGAAGATGCAGTGATATCACCAGAAATGGAAAAGATATCTTACTTGTCAAGATCTCAGAACACATTTGAGGATAAGGAAGAAGAGCTGATTGAACGGATGCTAAAGCTGTTAGGAGAAATGCTGAATATTGACAAACAAGAAATGAAAAGAAAAACTGAAGGAGAAGGACGCATGCTGTTTAATGAATATAAATGGGTTGAGCGTTCTTCCCAAAATACTTCAATCAAATTCTCTTCCTCATTCCAAACAATATATACAAAAACAGAGGAAGAATTACTTGATGATTCAAATGCACTGACTTGGAAAGTTATTTGGCAAAGGAAGAAAGTTAGAGTAAGACTGAAGAAAATAGAGGTTTTGACCTATTAGATGGGATATTATACTATTAAACAGATGTTTGAATATGGTTAAGAAAATAGATAACTGTTAGAAATAAAAGTATTATTATAATTAGAAGGATAGGATTTGTAACTAGAATATTATACTTTGTTATGAGATGGGAAATATGAAAATTTTAAAAGGGTTTGAATAAGGGAAGCTTTTGGTTATCCAAATATAGTTTATTATGAGAAAATTATAAGCGATAGAGCTATTTTGAACATTGATAGGAAATTAACATTTTTAAAAAGCGGGGAAAACAGGATATTGATTGAACAAATGGATTTTAAGTGCAAATACAATTGAGATATGTTCTGGCTAGAAAAGATATTATAAACTGACACTATCGATATTATGTATAACACTAGAAAAATGTGATGAAGATGTCTATATTTAACTGTATATGTATTAACAGTAACAAAAATTGTATTTTCCCAGTGTGGAAAAATACATACCACTGGAAGAAGAGAGGACCAAGGAAGCACTGGATGATGTATTATTAGAAGTAGACTGAGAAAGTTAATATGTACCACTGAATTACCAATAGACCCAGAAAACACGTTGTTCGTTAAGTACTCATGATTGTAAAATTAGAAAATTAATAAAATATTTATAAAAAATTGTTATTTTATGCTTAATCTTACATGACATTGTTTTGATTTTCTATGCAACTAAAAGTAAGCTGAAGTGAATATATGAGAAGAGAAGCTGAGTGAGCAAGACTTACGTTTCACTATCTGTCATATCCAGTAACTCAGAAGAACCTACAAAAGAAAGTAAAACAGATGATGCTCTTGTTTCCTACTGGATGTTGAAGTCTGTTCCCCATCCTGCTCCCCCAGAAGTTTTCTTCCTCTTGGAAGACTCTTGTTTTGTTTTTGTATTTAGCTTATCCTCAGAGTATTTTAATGTTTCCTTCAGGGTGCTTTTTGAGCCTACCTTATTACTGGGGATGGGTGAGGATGCAATAGTTACTGTTTTTTTTTACAAGTTCTATAATCATTCTTAGTTGCTGGTACTTCTCAATCTTGAAAAGCCCTCTTGAGATTGAATTAAATTAGGGGAGGTAGCAGAATTATGGCAAGATGATGATGATACAAGGAAACAAGATATTCACTCACAATAAGCTATACCGCTCATATCAACCAAATGATTTTTCTTCTCCTCCTGGAAAGAAGGGGGAGCAAATAATTTCTCCAAGCTGAGTAAATTTAGAAACTGCATAAGATATTTTTACTCCATCACCCTTCAGAGACAAAAGGAAGGATTTCATTCCCTTTCTCACCCAGTGAAAGTTGTGTCTCAATCTTGCTTTAGGCCAGGGTTCCCCAGAATGGTCAATATCAGCCCCCAAGGGTTAATGGGAGTATCCATTGTTGTTATTGTTATTACTAGTAGCAGTTGCAGCAGCAATAAAGTAGTATTTATTAAATTATTTTCATATAATAAATGTTTGGGGTTGATGGACAATCTGAAACTTCATGCAGGTATGGGGGATCTTTGCTTTAGACTATTGACAGAGAACAAAGGTGAACAGGCCCCTTTTCCAATATATCCTTGTAGAAAGAATGTGATATGAGAAGTAACTGTAGGGAGGAGATAACTTATGGGTGGGAAATGTGCTTTGCATGCTGCAGTTCCTGGTACAACATCTCTAGTTGGAGAACCAGTTAAAAGTTTCAGGAAAATCTACTGCCTGAGATCTGGTAGATTTGATTCCAGCTAGAATAACAATGAAGAAAATATATCTATTGTTTGCTAAGAGCCAACATTGACTTAATAGCACACAATCAAGCAAGAATAGCAAAAAAAAAAAAAAACCACCACCTTTTATTTCTTTGCAGATCCCTGAGTTTGGTAATAAGGAAGCAGCAAATAATTTATAACAAGAATAACAATAAATAAATAAACATTACTATGTTGTTTATAAACTCCTGAAGGTCTTAAACACTGAACAGCGGGTGATAGTCTAAAGATTAAGAGAAAATTAGAGTGGAGCCAAAAAGAAAGTAAAGTAGGAAGAGGTTAATTGTGAACTATGAGATTTTATTCAACATTATGGGCCTCCAAATAAACTCCCCCTTCTAACTTTCTGTCCCTCAGAGCTGCTATTTGCTGCCAGCTAATGATTCCAAATCCCCCTCCGGTGCAGAACAATAGTACACAGATGTGGGAAAGGTTGGCACTGGAAAAGCAAATGCTACTGTCCTTCTGCCACAGCAGGGAGCTGGCTGTCTTAGCAAGGGACAGTGAGAAAAGAAAAAGAAAGGGGCCTGGCAGAGGGAGAGCGAGCACGCCAACTAACCCAAGGCAAGTCCAAAAGGGAAACGCATCAGTGAGATTTCCATCAAGCAAAACAGCAGGGAGGGAAAATAAAATAAAACAAGAGGGACGGTGGGAAGGAAGGAAGGAGATGCAAGGAAGCAAAGAAATAAATAAAGGGCTCTGGGAAATCAAGAGGAAATAATGGGGGCACTCTCACTTGAAAGGAATAAAACGTGGGTAGTATTGGAGCAGGTGCCCCCATGGGAACCACAGTCTGCCTTTAATGTCTCTAATCATCAATCTCTTTCTAATTATTAACTCCTTTCTCCTCCCCCAGCCTTCAGTTGCTCAAGCACACACATGGACTGGTGGTTTCCCAGGATGCAAATGAGCTTGAGTTTCTATACACTTTCTTCTACATGTGAGAAAGCAGAGGATGGGGGGAAATGGCAGATAGCTAGTCCATCTCTGAGCTCATGGTAAGAGAACAGAGAAAGCAAAAATGTCAAGTCCTATGGAATTTTCCAACAAAAGGGCCCCGTGATTGCCATTCTCTCCTTCCCAAACAATCCCATGCTCTGTATTAAATATCAACTGCCAAACAAAGAGAAATTTACCCTGTTCCCTTTACATGCAATCTATCTATTATCTTTGTAACTCCCACACATATGACACATGTATGATTGATACACATGGAGGGGAGAGGACAGGTCAGAAAGAACCTTGAAGTTGATTAGGACAGCATGATAGCGATAATCACACATATTCCATAACACATTTAGAAAACATTGTGGCTAAAGTAATTTTTAGTACTATAATCAATGAGGAAACAATGTAAATAATGGTAGAAGTTGAGACTGAGAGAGAGAGAGAGAGAGAGAGAGAGAGAGAGAGAGAGAGAGAGAGAGAGAGAGAGAGAGAGAGATTGAAATTCAGGACATGGTTTCAGACATTATTAAGCACTTAAAAAATCTTCTGAGTGTAATGGAAAAGTATCAAATGTAAGTTTTGTCATCCACCATTTACCATGACTGTTGTTCCATTTTCTGTTCCAGATTTTCAAATGAAAGGGAGTACGCATATGCTGAAAAAGGGCCCACTCAGCTTTTTCAGTCACTCTGTAAAGGTCTCTGTAAAACTATTTCTATACTAGCTATATTAGAAGCAAAAAACCAAACAGAATTTCTTCCTTACTTCCAGCCTCAGGAGTCTGATCTATCTGAGAAATTTGAGGCAGTTTACTCTATTTATATATAACTCTTCAGAATACTAATTCATAAAACAGGCTCAGAATGAGAAACAAATAAACAATAGATTTGACAAGACAATTATCTACTCCCTTAAATTCACCCATATAAATAGTAGGTGAAACAGGATGAATAATTCACTCACCATGTTCTAGAATGTATTTTACAATCTCACCATGCCCAGTCTTTGCTGCATGATGAAGCAAGGAACAGTGGTCAGGACCCCGGATTAATAGATTAGCTCCTTTTTTACACCATTCTACAAACTGGAATAGAGAGAAAAAATGTAATTATTCAAAATCATCACTTCATTTCAGTACCAATAGAAGAGAATATTTGTAGCTCAGGGCTGGATTATGGGTTTCTTGGTGCTCTCTGAGCTTAGTTGTTTTCCTGCAGACTTTCATTACCAAACTAGGTAACATCATCCACGCTGGCCTAAATGAATGTACTCAGCCGCTTGTTTTTCAAATGCAGCCAAGTACAGATTCCTAGAGATAGAGGAAAGACAAGCTACTGGTGCAGGATGGAATGAAAGAGCATTTTAAGTTTACTTTTCTTTGGCTGGCCACTGTTCTCTTTTCATTTACTGAGGTCAGTCAAGGTCAAAGGTACAATCCCATAACTGGACACTTCTTCTTTTATCTAAGATCAAAATGCTTATGTTTTTACAGTGCATATGGTAGCCTTTTCCAACCTGGTCTTGAGAAGGTGGCCACTTTTGGATGCAACAATCTCAGCGTATCTTGAAAGTTGTAGATTGGGGAAATCTGTGAATTATGGCTTTGATAGATTTTGTAGGGTGATAATTTATGATGGAAATTGATCACCACTGTGTCTCCATCTACTCAGAGTTATCGATCAGGGGAATGAATGAGTTGAGAAGGCCTCTTTCAAACACCAGCAAGACAGTAGAGGCTGAGAAGAAATAAGACTACTCCTAACCTATGCACTGGACAACTTGCCTGAAACAAAAAATATGCAAAAATTTATGTTGGAAAAAAAACATTAAATCTGAAATAAGTGTGTTCTGCCAACCAGAAAAACATAATCTTTGAATTGAGCTTCAACTGCTGCAAAACAAAGGATAATTACTGGGGGGAGGCGTATGGAATCCTCTCCCTTTTTCACTTTGGCATTAGAGAATACAGATCAGACTTGGTGTTCGTAGAACCTGTTTAATAACTGAACTGTATTCACAGCAAATACTGAATTACAATGAAGTGCAAAGGAGAGTAGATAATGTACCATTAGTTTGGTTATATATCAAATCATGAGACAACAGACTGTGGTGCACTTTGCTTATTCTGGCAGCTACTTGAATCTTACCTAAATTCTTATGCTAATGGTCTTTGAAGTTGCAGTGATACTAAAATTCCAAGGTATTTGTGATTGTTCATTAAGCATTAGTTCTCTTTTTTAAGATTAGAAAGGTATTTCAGAATAAAGAAATGAAATCCTTTCAAACAGAGGTTGGCACTTCAATGGGATTGCACTCCAAATATTGGTAGGGACAGCCCAAATAAATGGACAATGTTAAGAGACAAAAAAAAAATCCTAAATTGGATGTTGTTATTTAATCACATTGAATTAAATATGATTGTTCTCATGTATCTATTGACTAAGAGCCATGTATCTATTGACTAAGAGCCATGTATCTAAGCCATGTATCTAAGGTGTAATGGTTAAGATACCAAGATGGAAATCAAGAAACTGTGAGTTCCAATCCTACCTTAGGCACAAAGCCCACTAGGTATCTGAGTTAGTTACATACTCTCTACCCTAGGAAGGAGCAATGGCAAATCACTTCCCAGGACTTTATTAGACATTATGCAGCCGTGAGGCCTCAGGGTGTGCCTTTCTCATGTATAGCATGGCAACAAGGAATGAGAAGAATTACAAAAATAACAAAGCATAAGCATTATAGGAAATGTATTACAAGATTTAGGATCATGCTCATCACAGGACGTTTCATTCCAGTCAGGTGCATTAACAGCACACAATGTGTCCTTGCAAAACTAAAGTTAATTTGCATTTGTTAACCATCTTTATCAAAGCCCTGGATGTTTTTAAAGGGAGGCTTCCTGTTTGCTGCCAAATGCTTTTCCTAATAGATGTGGCTGTATGTTGCTATGGTGACTGAACTGGGAGAGGTTGGAGACAATTTCTAACTGGCTCAGATAAGAAGACTCTAGAGAGAAAAAAATTGAGGTAACCCTAGTTAGCATCTTCCAGGTTGTTTATTGAATTTATATCTAGCAGTTCATATGCGGCTGTCATGAGTATCTGGAAAAGATAGTTGTTTAAGAGGCACAAGGTTAAATCAATTTTATAAAAGTACAGCCTGTAACTCTGAGCTGTCCTCATGATAGAGGGGAAAAAATAGGCAAAAGAAATTGTTTCATTCTTCCTATAGGAAGCAAGCCAAAAAGAAAATCCTAACTGTTTTTTCTCCAGACAGGGGAAACCAGAGCAGAGCTATCACTATTCTAAAGCCCACTAGTGGTCACTGGCTAAAAGACACAAGGAATTAATGTTTCTGAAGCTATATCCCAAAATTGGATACGGTCCAGGAACAGGATGCTGAATTTCTGTGGGGGAGGGTAGGGTGGATGAGAGAAGTTAAGGACTGCCAGAAGACAGCACAAGGAGACTGTTCCCACCAAGTGTTCCCATAAAATATTTTAGAATTGCAACAAAAGGAAAATACCACACTTGCTATGGTTTCTAATAACCTGGAGCAAAGTCCAAAATAAATCAATTATACTACCTAAAATGTACAATATTATGAATTCTAAGAGAACTGGAATTGATCCCAATGTAGGGCAAAACAGTGATATGGAAGTACCCTGAATGTCATTATATGGTGTATAAAAACAAATTGTTAGTGTAGGAAGTCAGCTCCCCAGAGAAGGAAATATTAAAAGGGCAGAAAAATATATTTCCTTCAAGGATCTTAAAGAGACAGAAAAGCATGCCCAGGACTCCCCCCCCAAACAGAAGCCAGCCCTATACAAATGCAAATGTAAACCATCAGAAAGGCCCCAGCTAGGAGATCAAGAAGACAAAGACACCTAAAAGCTGCATACCCCACCCAAACTCTAGGAGTCATTAGCCCCATCACCAGGGAAGCAGGATATGATAATAGGACTAACCCATCACCATAAAGAATACCAGAGAGGCACACCTAAACTCAGGTCAGAATAAGTGACACAGGAAATAGCCTCAAAGTTCATGCCACATGAACAGGAACCTATTCCAAACAAAAGGCTACAAAGGGTATACTCATGTGCTCAGCCCTTCTTTTCTCTGGTCTTTCCTGCAAGAACCATCTTTCTGGCTCTTCAATAAACCTTCTTCCCAAAGCAGTCGCCATGTTGTTTATTTATCCCCGGCTTGGATGAACAAGGATGAAGATTTTAATCCCTAAACCAGGGATTGTGGGTTTGAGTCCCATCTGGGTCGCCAAATTGATGGATCAAAGTCCACATTAGTAACACAACACATATTATCAAAGAGATATATAGGATGATAACTTCTTTTACTTACTCTTAGAAAATCGCCAGCTATTACTGACTGTAAAAGTGCTGCAAAGACATAAGAAGATATTATTAACATTCATACTTATTCCTGACAAAAGAGGCATTTATTTCTCTTGATTATGTTAATTGAATATATTCTGAAGGTTGATATTCTACAGACATGATCGTCCATACCCTATGCTGTATCTGTGCATTTGGTTTTTCTTGCCTAAATGTAGAACCTTACTTTTTTCACCATTGAATTTCATTTTGTTAGATAGCGCCCAATGTTCAAGTCTGTCAAGATCCTTCTGTATCTTAAGCCTATCTTTGTAAGACAATAAGATCTTGAACATAAACTGAGCATAGAAAGAATACTTTGTAAGTAAAAGTAATTACCAATAATATAGTTGCCCTGAGTACAGAGTATGGGCCCAGCTAATGTTAATAGACATTGACTATACTTAAAGTAAAAGCTAGATTTTAGTAAGATCTAGTCACTCTCTCTCTCTCTCTCTCTCTCTCTCTCTCTCTCTCTCTCTCTCTCTCTCTCTCTCTCTCTCTCTCTCTCTCTCTCTCTCTCTCTCTCTCTCTCTCTCAGAACTATTGTCAAACTATTCTCATTATCAGATTTGTTTTTGTAATATTCAATGCATTCTGCCTTCCCGAGAACTTATTATTCTTAAACTCTGGAACAGTAAAGGATAGGTGTTAATATTCTGACATTCTTGAGTACTTGTGCTACCATATCCTCTCCAGTCTTCTGTTCTTATGACTAAAGATGTCTATCTCCTTTAATTGCTTTTCATAAGATATTATTTCTCGTTCCCTGGTCATCATCACTAGCCTTCTTTGAACCTATTCCAGGTTCTCAATAAATTCTATAAGCAGATTATAAACCATGTAGCCTGGGAATTCACACAAAGTAAATTCACACAAAATGTATAAAGAATTTAGTGACAATTCTTGTTACTTCTTCTTAGCAATGTCTTATAGATTAAAATTGTGCCAAAGTCTGTCCTTCAATTTATCACAAAAATTTTAGAAGAGGTATCTTTTTTCCTAACCTCAGTGTCAGAGAGAATTATCCAATCTTTTTTAGAGTTCATTTTCTGTGTTTTTTTTTCTAGTTTCTTGCTGCCAAAAGTATTATTGTGTAGTTTTGTTTCATTTTCCCTATTATTCTACAGGCTTCCCAACTGCCTTGCTAAAAAAAAATTTATGAACATCCCTCATGATATCTTTCTTTGTGATCAAATGAAGGCTGAAATGTTGGAGGAACAGGGCATTCAATTATACACCTCTTAACCACTTCATCAAATAATAATAGTATATGAACTCCATAGCCCACCATAATAATTTCACTAAAGTATTTTTCTGCTTTGAGCAATAATCAAAACATGTTCTTCATCAAATGACAATATTAGGAAATGCAGAAAAAAATCCAGTGAAGTATTATAACAGATTAATTGGAGAAGGAGTAAATCCAGAGATAAAAATTCAGTGCTGAAAATCTACGTTCTTATCTATAAATTCTACTCATCCCTATGAGATGTTCTTTCAACAAGCTGAACATAATAGTGTGCTGAAACTAGGGAGAAAAGTCATATATATCATTGGTAGAATTTTTCACCCTGATATCGTATAAGATCTGAGTAATTTCAATTATCTTACAAACAGTGACCTTTGGATTAGATCATCTTTTCTGGTAAAGTCCAAAGGCCAGAAGCTAACTATGATCCACAATATATAATGTCTGTAGGTTTCAGGGAAGCTAACCTACCTAAAAGAATTATGCTGGTCTTTGACCATAATTTAATTTGATTTGATTACCTAAGAGAACAGTTCTAAAGGCAAACAGGAGGTCATGAAAATGGTATGAATATGTCTGAATCTCTCTGATAATATCAGAAAGCTACAACCACCAAAATGCAATTCTTTCAGTCAGATTTGGAGTGATCAGATCACATTTACTAGGACAACGGGTTACTAATGGTGCAAGGAGTGAAAGAGGATTTTACATGTGCACATATAATTGGAATATGGAATTTGAGATGCATGAACCAAAGGAAACCTGACATTGTTGAAGAAGAAATGAAGCATACAAAACTAGAAGTTTAGGAGTGCAATAAGTAGATTTAAATAGATGAGACATTTTAAAGCAATTTTTCAGGGCATGACATCATATAAGGGAAGGGAGTGATAAGGATTCTGAAAAATGGCATAGCTAAGTAACTGATCACCCAATAAATAAAGACTCATATTTATTAGACATAATGAGTATCTATCAATGCTCTACTACTGTATGTATCTAGTATAGATGCAACAATGGGAGACTTTCAGGAATTCTATGGCAAATTGAAAAAGCTAATTTTCTACAACATTAAAACCAAAGAAGCGAATACTACTAGTGGCTGACTGAAATGGAGGAACTTGGAATTACAAGAAAATTTGGCATGAGCAAAACTACAATGAGGAGACACTTTTTATTGCTAATACTTGTTTTATGCAGTATAAATGCATGGACATCATTGGATGCACAACACTAGAATAAAACTTAATAGGAAACAGATGGTGGAGAAATAAATTCCAGTCAGCCAGGATGGTTCCAGGTTCAGATTGTAGAACAGATCATGCATTATTGGCGTCAAATCATTTGGTTAAACTTGTTAAATTAAAAAGAAAGACTATGGCATAAAGATTTGATTTGGAGGACATACAGTCAGGATATAAGATCGTTTTAAAAAGAAACAATTCAGTATACTTAAGAAATTATAGACACAGCTAAGAGACATCACAAAAACTGAAGTGAGGGGGGGGATCCCTAAAGTTCAAGAGGAAAATGATACAAGAAGATTTCAGAATAAACTATCATGACAGCTAAAGAAAGATGTAAAGAAAATAAAAAGCCTTGAGCAAGGAAGATGTATGACAACTGAATGCAAACCTACAACAAGGGGGGGGGGGGGAATAGGCAAGGAACT